TGGAGCTCGGCCAACTTGTCCCTGTGGGAGAAAGGCACAGGTGAGCTGGGGAAGGGTGGGGAGTCCTGGGGGAACCCCACCTCCTCCCCAGGAACCTCGGGGGCTTCCCTGCATTCCAGCTCTGCCAGGTGATGGGCTCATCCCCAACAGGGACTCAGGAAGGGACAGCAGGTCCCGGCCTTTTAATTTCAGTGTTTCCATCTGATTGCAGCTCCTGACCCACTCAAATCTTTGCTCCTGGGAGCACCCAGATCTTTGTTTCTCCAGCACCCAACATTCCTGTCTGTCCCTGTGCTCTTCCAGCCCTCTGACACCTGTTTTTCCTAAAATCCCCCTCAGGCTCAGAGCAGAAGCCAGAGGAAGACACAGCCGTGCTCTCCCGATTTTCCTCAGAGCCCCACGCTCACTGGGAACTTCCTCCAGGCTGCGTGAGACAGGACTGACTTGATTTCCCCCAGTTTGGCCCCAGTTCAGCTTACTCAAGCACAGGTTTCACTTGGGAGGCAGAGCTGGGCTGAACTGAACAGGAGCCAGTGGCTCCAGGCTGTGGGAGCACCATGGAATTCTGTGATCATTCCCTACTGCTTTTCCCATGGTTGTTTGGATTAAACAGACAAACAAGGGGCTGGGAGCAGGGCCCAGGACTTGGGGCTTGTAATGACAGAAAATGCCCTGGAGGCAGCTCTGGCTGAAGGTGTTTGTGAGAGGCACCTTCTCCAAGGACACATGGATGCTCCTCACTCACATCCTGACTCATAAAATCACAGAATGAGTTGGGTTGGAAAGGACTTTAAAAGATCAACCCCCCTGCCACGGGCAGGGACACCTCCCACTGTCCCAGGCTGCTCCAAACCCCATCCAGCCTGGCCCTGACTGCTCCCAGGGATCAGAGAATATCCTGAGCTGGAAGGGATCCACAAGGATCACTGAGTTCAACCCCTGGCCCTGCACAGACACCTGCACAGGGGAATGAGATGGGCTTTAAGGTGCCCCCCAACCCAAACCATTCTGGGATTCCATAATTCCATAATCTCTGTTTTTTCTATGCACAAACAGCACCTGGAAACATTTCTAGACAGCAACATCCAAGGCTGATTTGATTCCAAGACCCTCTGGAACAGCACCAGAACCTCTCCCCTCTAAATTCCAGCTGGTTTATCCCTTTCCAGCTTCCACTCCCTGTATCAGAGAGGGCAGAGATTCCTTGGGAATGAAACCCCCCGGGTGGGGCTGGGAAGGTACCGTGGGAATCCTGACCGCACGTGCAGGCCGTCCACGTTCTGGCTGACCAGGAATTTCAGGATTCCCACTCTCTGCAGCCCCAGCAGCGCCATGTGAGTCTTGGAGGGCCTGGCATTCTCGAAGGTGGTGTCGAATTTTGGGGAGAGCCCTTTTTCTTCCATAGTCCAGACACCATTGGGACCCCTGGAAAGAGCAGGAAGGGAGAGCTCAGGCTCCAGGTGCCCCATCCATGGGAGCAGAGCTCATGGATCAGCAGGATTCTGGGGGTTGATGCAAACAATGTGGGGATTCTGTGGCAACAGCTGAGATGTACAAGAGGGAAAATGGTGTTTGCAGCTAGATCCAGGACAGACAGCAGGAATGGGGCGGGTCTGGGATAAATCAGAGCTTTCCATGAAGGAAGATGGACCTGGAGGAGGTGCCACCCTGCCAGCCCTCGGACTTACCTGAAGTCAGGGATGCCCGAGGCCGTGCTGATCCCTGCTCCTGTGTGGAACACCACATGGGAGGAGCTCCGGATCAGCTCTGCCAGCTCCTGCACCTTCCGCTCCAGCTCCTCCGGAGGGTCAAAAATCTGGGAAAACACAAAAACCAGCATGGGATGGAGAGATGTGGGCATGGATTATATGGGGAAGGAATCCTTCCCTGTGAGGGTGGGGAAGCGCTGGAATGGATTTCCCAGAGCAGCTGTGGATGCTCCTGGATCCCTGGGATGTCCAAGGCCAGCCTGGACAGGGCTTGGAGCAACCTGGAATAGTGGAAGGTGTCCCTGCCATGGCAGGGGTGGCACTGGATGATCCTTCAGGTCCCTTCAACCCAAACCATTCTGGGATTCCATGATTCTAAAAGCCCAGTAACCCACAATTCTTCCTTATCCATGAATGATTTTGCATTCCTTAAGGACAGAAACATTTAATAGGAGAGACTCCACGCTGCCTGGAGCATCTCGCTGCAGGGACAGGGCTGGGAACTCCAGCACCAACAGGGAGTTTGCTGCTCTGGCTGGCAGCTGGCCCAGGCTGGGCTCCAGGAGCGATCCGGGGCCACCCCACGTGTGCCCCACTGTCACCAGCAGTGCCACCAGCTCTGGGGACAGGGCAGGGCCGAGGGACAGCGAGGGACACCAGATGCTGGTTTGGGCACGGGATTTAATCCCTGAGACACTTCTCCAGCCCCATCTCTGGGGACGGGGACGAGGACAGGACCCTGTGTGTCCCTGTCCCCTCACCATCCCCTGGGCTCAGGACGGGCTGCAGTGTCCCTGTGGCTCCCCTCAAACCTCGTTTTAGGCTTCCCAAACTGCTGGGGCTCAGGGGGGACACGGAGGGAGCCATGGGGGCTGTGGGGGCAGAAGGAAGGACCAGGGTGGGGTCAGGGAGGCCATGGAAGGGGACATGGAGAGGGGACATGGAAGGGGACATGGAAGGGGAAATGGAGAAGGGACATGGAGAGGGGATATGGAGAGGGGAAATGGAAGGGGACATGGAAGGGGACAAGGAGAGGGGATATGGAAGGGGACATGGAGAGGAGACATGGAGAGGGGACATGGAGAAGACACATGGAAGGGGACATGGAAGGGGACATGGAGAGGGGACATGGAGAAGGGACATGGAAGGGGACACGGAGAGGGAATATGGAGAAGGGACATGGAAGGGGACATGGAGAAGGGACATGGAAGGGGACATGGAGAAGAGACATGGAAGGGGACATGGAGAAGGGACAGGGAAGGGGACACAGAGAGGGGCCGAGGGAGCCGGGGGCGGCCTGGGGGGACATGAGGGGGACGAGGGAGCCATGGGGTGTCGGGGGACAGGCACCCAGGGAAGGGGGACGGGGAGGGAGCCGCGGGATGCGCTCGGGACACACGGCGGGCTCGGTGCCCGCTGGGTTCCCGAGGCCGCGGTTGCCATGGGGACGCGGCGGGCCCGCGGGAGGCCCGGCGGGCGGGCGGGGGCTGCCCCGGGCGGGCGGGGACGGCCCCGGCGGTGCCGCGCTCACCTCGGGGAGGCCGCACTTGCCCTTGTCCGAGTACGGGGACAGCCCGGCCGCGTAGCTCACCGCCATCGGCGCGGCCGCCGCGCGGCGGAAGAGCCGGGAGGGGCCGGGCCGCGGGACCGCCCCGCGCCGCCGCCGCCATCTTGGAGCCGGGCAGGGCGGGGCCGCNCCGCCGCCATCTTGGAGCCGGGCAGGGCGGGGCCGCCCCGCGCCGCCGCCGCCATCTTGGAGCCGGGCAGGGCGGGGCCGCCCCGCGCCGCCGCCATCTTGGAGCCGGGCAGGGCGGGGCCGCGGGACCGCCCCGCGCCGCCGCCGCCATCTTGGAGCCGGGCAGGGCGGGGCTGCCCTCAGCGCGGCCGGGGCCGACCGGGACTGCCCGGGACCGACCGGGAGTGACCCGGGACTGACCGGGACTGACCCGGGACCGACGGGGAGTGACCGGGAGTGACCCGGGACTGACCGGGACTGACCCGGGACTGCCCTCAGCGTGGCCGGGACCGCCCGGGACCGACCCGGGACCGACCCGGGACCGACCGGGACTGACCCGGGACTGCCCTCAGCGTGGCCGGGACCGCCCGGGACCGACCCGGGACCGACCGGGACTGACCCGGGACTGCCCTCAGCGCGGCCGGGACCGACCGGGACTGACCGGGACCGACCGGGACTGACCCGGGACCGACCGGGACTGACCCGGGACTGCCCTCAGCGCGGCCGGGACCGACCGGGACTGACCGGGAGTGACCCGGGACTGACCGGGACCGACCGGGACTGACCCGGGACCGACCGGGACTGACCCGGGACTGACCGGGAGTGACCGGGACTGCGGGACACTGCCCCGACATTGACCCGGGACTGCCCGGCACTGAACCAGGAGTGACCGGGACTGAACCGGGACTGACCCAACACTGCCCCGGGACTGCCCTGGCACTGCCCCGACATTGCCGGACACTGCCCCACCTGCACTGAACCCCTGCCCGGGGGGACACAGGATGGGCAGGGGTGCCAGGGATGGACAAGAGGTGCCACCAAGAGCAGGGGATGCCAAGGAAGGAAGGAAGGAGGGACAGGGGGTGCTGGCAAGGGCAGGAGTGCCAGGGCAGAGCAGTGGCTACCAGGGAAGGACAGGGCGTGCTGACAAAGGCCGGGATGGCAGGGAAGGACAGGGGTGCCAGGGAGGAGCAGGGGTGCCAGGGAGGAGCAGGGGTGCCAGGGAAGGACAGGGGTGCCAGGGAGGGACAGGGGTGCCAGGGAGGAGCAGGGGTGCCAGGGAAGGACAGGGGTGCCAGGGAGGGACAGGGGTGCCAGGGAGGAGCAGGGGATGCTGACAAGAACACGAGGTGCTGGCAGAACCAGGGGCTGCCAGGGTGGGGAACGGGATGTCAGGTCAGGACAAGAGGTGCCACCAAGGGTGGGGGGTGTTTGGGATGGGCAAGGGGTGCCAACCATCAGAGCCCAGCCCTCCCCAGCACCCCAGGCCGTGTCCCTTGTCCCCAAACACGGCCCGGCCCGGCCCCCCCACGCCTGCCCGGGGCTGTAACCGCAGCCGCGGCCGTAACACAATCCCCGGCTCCGGTTCCCGGCTGCGGGCGCTGCGCTGGGAACGCCAGGACGGGCTGGGAGCAGCGGGACCGGGGGCGCTGAGCTGTCCCCAGGCAGGGACAGACCCTCCTGGAGCGTGGCCATCCCTCCCGAGCAGCTGCCACGGGGCTGAGGCTGAGCCACCATGAAGAGCCTGAAGGCCAAGTTCAAGAAGGCAGATGTGAGTGCCATCCCTGGGGACATGGGGACACGGTGACCTGCTGCAGGGTGTCTGTGGGGACACGGGGATCTGCCCTGGGACATGAGGACCTGGAGATTTCCCCCAGGATGTCCCCAGTGTCACAGGGACACGGGGACCTGCCCTGGGACACGGAGTGGTCGCTCACAACGGGGACAGCAGTCCTACAGAAGTTGGCACTGCCACTCTGGCTGGTGGGATCGAGCCCCCAGTGCACCCCCTGTGCTCCCAGAGCCATCGCTGGGAGTGGGGCAGAGCAAAGGAGAGGGAAGCAGATCCCAGGTCCCCTCCCTGTCCCCCTCCTGGGGACAAGTGCCACTTTGCCAGCTGCCACAGCCCGTGGAACCAGCCTGTCGATGCTCCTCAATTATTCAGCAGCAGCGTGGCATGGGGCCGCAGAGGGCAGAGGGGGACAGCGCTGTCCCCAGTGCACTGGGAGGGACACAGGAGGGGACATGGGGACACAGCTTGAAGCCCCTCACCCGGAGTCTGTGGGACCATCCTGCTCGGGGCGCTCCATGCCTCAGTTTCCCCACACTGCCCTGGACACGTCCCTGAGAGGCTCCCGATGTCCTGCTGCCAGCGGGACTGCCCGGACAGCGTCTGGGGACCCTCTGCGTTTCGGGGTTCCTCCCTGGAGGTGTTTGGGGGGTCCCAGGTCCCCCCATCGGGGGCCGGGAGGATGCTCAGCCCTGTTTTGAGGACAGCTGGCCTCCTCCCCCCCAGCCTCTCCCGTTTTAACTGGGACCAGTCTGGGCGCCGGTCCCTGCCTGGGAGCCGCTCCGAGGCGGGATGCAGGGATGCAGGGATGCAGGGATGCGCTGAGGAGGGAGGGAAGGAGGGAGGGCCGGGGGCGGAGGAGGCGGGTCCGGCTCCCACTGCCGCAGCCCCGGCCCCCGCCCGGGCGGCGATGCCGGAGCGCTCCGGGCTCGGGGGTGCCCGTGCCGGCCGGGGCGGGGGGCGGGGGGCGCATGGCGTCCTCCCGCCGCCTCCTGCTCAGCACCATGAAGCAGATCTGCCTTTGTGCCGCCGCCTCCTTCGCGGTACGTCCCGCTCCCCTCCCGGCTCCCCTCTGCTCGCGTCCCGCGGGCTGAGCCGTGTCCCCCCCGCCCCACCTGCACCCCACATCCCCATCCCCATCCCGGGGCTCCCCGTGTCCTCCCCATCCTGCTTTGTCCTTGCCTGGCCAGGGAGTGGGGGGAGCGGGCACCACCCTCCCAGTTTGCCAGGAGCCCTGGGAGACTGGTTTGCTCCCTGTGCCTGGTCCCACCGGGCTGGAGGGGCTCGGGGGCACCCGGCGGGCACAGGCGGGTTTGGGACGGGTGCCAGCGGCTCCCGAAAGGTGACATCCATTTCCTGCCACCGCGAGCGCAGCCAGCGCCGCTTTGTCGTCACGGGCTGCGGGGTGAACCCGGGACTTGCAGTCCCTGTCCTGGTCCTGTCCCACTGCGGGTCCTCCTTCGGGACAGGGAGCGCCGGGAGAGCAAATCCCAGCCAGCTGCGGTCCTGTTTTGGGGGGCACAGCGCTGCGCCCCGTTATCCCGGGAGGCTGGGGCATCCCTGGGGATCTGCTCTCGCTGCCAGCTGTGCTCGCCCTGGTTTGATCCCTTCCTCCTCCGGGAGCAAAGCAGGGCTGGGAATGGGACTCCCATGGGTTCTGACTGGGTTTAGTACTGGGATTTCAGGGTGGCAGGGGCAAACCCCTGTACAGTTGGGCTCAGTCCCAAATCCCAGCCTGGCACAGCTAAACTGGGCTGTGTCTGTAAATCCCCCACTCAGTGAGCTGCAAACTGGGGGACTGGAGGGGATTTTCATCCCAATCCCTGCTGAACTCTCCGTACCTGGGAGTGAGCTCGGAGGAGAGGGGGACAGACACGGCCACCCCCAGGGACAGGGCTGGAAGGGGCACAACAGGGCTGGGGACAAGGAGAGCCAGCCCAGCCCAGCCCTGGGGACAGCACTGTCACAGCTGACACTGTCACAGCCTCCTCTGGGCCCTGTTGCAGAGCCAGGACTGGACCAAGAACGACGAGAAGCTGCTGCAGGCCGTGGACTACAACGATGCCGGGCGGGTCACGTCGCTCCTGCTCCGCAAAGGCCTGGTGCCCACCAAGCTGGACGCGGAGGGCAAATCCGCGTGCGTGCCAGGCCCTGCCCTGGGGACACGGCTGGGGACAGGGGACATCCTCTGAGTCCCTCAGCCCCTGGTCTCGCTGTAGGTTCCACCTGGCCGCCACGCGGGGCAATGTGGACTGCCTGGAAGCAATGCTGGCCCACGGCGTGGATGCCATGACCAAGGACAGCTCGGGTGAGGGCATGGCCACCACGTGCCCCTGCCTAATGCCATGGGCCACACAGGGCCACTGGTCATCCCCAGGTGTTGAGGATGAGGGGACAGAGGTGGTGGCCACACCTGGGGGGCTGTAAATTGTCCCAGTTTCCTAAAGGAGCTCTATTATTGCTTCATGAGCTCCTGGGGTCGTTCCCTTCCTGTTCAGCCCCATTCCAGCAGATCCTGCTTTGTGCCTGTCTCTCTCTGTCCCCAAGCTGTCCCCTCTGGCACAGCCCTGCTGGCCATGCTCTGACCTGTTTGTCCCTTCCCAGGTTACACTGCCCTGCACTTGGCCTCCAAGCACGGCCACCCTCAGTGTGTCAGCAAACTGCTGCAGGTACAGGGAGAGGGAGGAGGGACAGAGGGAGGGAGGGAGGTGCTGTGCCAGCACGGAGTCCTCCCTGTCCTTGAACCCCCTTCCCTCACCAGTGCCAAGGCATGGTGGTTCCCAGCTCTGTGCTGCTGCCTGGCACCAGGGAGCCACAGGGGTCTGTCCCTTGTCCTTCAGCACAGCGTGGAGCCAGAGGGGGTTGGTCTGTCTGTCCCTCTCCTTCACCACACCACAGAGTCTCTCAGTCCTTCACTGTGCCACAGAGCCACTCGAGCAGTCTGTCCCTCTGTCCCCCTCCTCCCGTGACCCAGGCTCTCCCCGCAGGCCTCCTGCCCCGTGGACGTGGCCGATGGCAGTGGCCGGACCGCGCTGCACCTGGCGGGTGAGTAGGGACAGTGCCAGCCCTGTCCTGCTCACATCCCCGTAGGGGCAGCGCTCAGCCTCTGTCCTTGTCTGCAGCTGCCAGCGGCTGCATCTCCTGCTCCGAGATCCTCTGTGACTTCAAGGCTCCCTTGAACAGCAAGGACAAGGTGGGGTCACACTACTCCTGGTCCTGCTGTGCCAGGCTGGGGCTGTCCCAAAACACAGCACCGCTTGGGGTGGGATGTGGAAATTGGGGTGGGATGTGAAAACTGAGGTGGGACGTGAAAATTGGCGTGATATCGGGAGGATCTGAGTCTCCTCTGCTCATCCTCCCCCCTGCCATGCCTAGGACGGCTCCACGCCGCTGATCCTGGCTGCCAAGATGAGCCACTCGGAGCTGTGCCGGTACCTGCTGCACCGCGGGGCCGCCGTCAACTGCCGGGACCTGCAGGGCAGGTGGGGCAGCAGGGCCGGGGCCCGGCGGCGGCCGCAGGGATGGTCCCCTCCTCACCCGCGCTCTCCCCGTGCCCAGGACAGCGCTGATGCTGGCCTGCGAGAGCGGCAGCGCGGACACCGTGGAGGTGCTGGTCAGCGCCGGTGCCCGCGTGGCCGTGGTGGACGCCACCGGCCACGACGCCGCTCACTACGGGCTGGCCACAGGCAACGTCCTCATCCAGCACCTCCTGCAGGAGGCGGCCCAGCGCCGCTCCTGGGCCAGCGGTGAGGCTGCCGGGCCGCCCCGGGCTCCCTGCCACCGTCGGACAGGGCTGGCAGAGGCTGCGGGGATGTGTCCCCTTTGCCTGGGTGTTTGGGGCTGCCTTTGCCTGTGATGTCCCCAGCCTCTGCTCTGAGCTCTGAGCCTCTAAATCTCCCCAATTTCTCTTCGCTCTGCTCCACAGAAGAGGACTCAGCTGAGCAGACGTCGCAGGTGAGGGGCTGGTGCCCATCCCTGGAGGGTCCCCTGGCTCAGGAAGGAGGGAGGGCACTGTGGGTGTGACGTCCCCTCTGCCCTGGGGTGTCCGCAGACATCTTCGCCCAGCCAGTCATCTGTCAGGGAGAAGAGCAGCACCCCGAGGAAGAGGAAGGCCCCTCTGCCTCCCCTGGGCACCCCCAGCCAGGTGAGAAACAGGTCCCCAGGTCCCCACCTGGCCTGAGTAGCCCAAAACACTCCTCGATGAAGGATCCCCTCATTGGGGGTTGGTGCCAAAAAGCCCCCTCGGGCACACAGTGGGATTTTTGGGGTTTCCTGTGCCAGGAGTTGGACTCGATGCTTTCCGTGATTCCCTGCAGGAGGACCGGGACGCCTACGAGGAGATCGTGCGGCTGCGGCAGGAGAGGGCCCAGTTCCTGCAGAAGATCCGGGGCTTGGAGCAGCAGGAGAAGCAGAGACGGGAGGTACCGGCTGCAGGGTCCTGGGGACATGCCACCGTGTCCCTGGGGAGCAGAGGGGACAGGGGAGATGGGGACAGCACTCACCCCTCCCTCTTTTCTCCCTGGGTCCCGCCAGCGGGCAGAGCTGGATGAGGCATCCCTGCGTTCCATGGAGAAGCAGGTGAGGCCAGGGAAGAGCCTGGAGGTGACCTCAGCTCTCCGCGGGGTCCTGGTGCTGGGAATGCCACCAGGACTCTGCCAGGAGCCAAGGGGACCCTATTCCCATACCCTGCCCTGCAGATCCGGGAGCTGGAGGAGCGGCTGGTGGCACGGGACGGGGAGAAGGAGAAGCTGGGCAAGGAAGTGGAGGCTCTGCGGAGCCGCCTGTCCTCGATGGAGGTGGGTGTGGGCAGGACACAGCTGGCAGTGCCCAGGGCTGGGCACAGGGGCATCACCTCCACCCTGCACCCCCAGAATGAGAAGGAGAACACGAGCTATGACATTGAGACGCTGCAGGACGAGGAGGGAGAGCCGCTTGAGTTCCCAGGTAGGTCTTGCCAGCCTCCCAATAACACCTCGGGGAGGTGACACTGGGCAGTGGGGGCACAGGTGGGCACCGCCCCATGTCCCTGTGCCCTGCAGGAGCGGAGATGCTGCTCTCCAAGAAGACACTGAGCCCCTCGGCCGAGGAGCTGCTGGCCACTCTCCAGGGGCAGGTGCAGTCCCTGACCGTGCAGAACAAGGAGCTGAGAGAGAAAATCCAGGCACGTCCCCCTCTGTCCATCCGTCTGTCCCTCCATTCCCTGTCCCCTGGCCCACGGTGGCCTCACGGTCTCTCGGCAGGTGCTGGAGAACTACGAGCGGGACGAGAGCAGCCCCCCTGCCCCGGGGGACGTGGTGCCCGCCAGCCTGTACCAGGCCCTGCAGCGGGAGCTGGAGCGGCTGCGGGCGCAGGGCAGGGAGGCCACGGCTCGGGCCGGAGGGGACGGGCAGCGCGCGGCCTCGGAGCCCATCCCAGAGGGAACCGCGGGGCCGCGTCCCGCCGAGGAGCCGGCCTGGGCCTGGGGCGAGTGCAAGGCAGCACTGGGCGAGCTGGGGGTGCAGACATCCTCCTCCTCCTCACCCTCGGGCGAGCGGGAGCCGGGCGCGGAGCTGGCGGAGGCACGGGCGGCCCTGAAGCGGGTGCAGACTGAGCTGGAGGAGCGGGAACGGCGGCTGAAGGAGCTGCAGGCCCAGCTGCAGGCTGCGGAGGCTGCGGCCTCACCAGGAGCCTCTGCGGAGGAGGCGTCGAGGGACAAGGAAGCACTGCTGGAGCGCTGCGGGCGCGCCGAGGCCGAGGCCGAGGCGCTGCGGCGGGAGCTGGAGGCCAGGCCGAGAGCTGCGGACGCGGCGCGGCAGCGGGCGGAGGCCGAGGCGCAGCTGGCAGAGCTGGCAGAGCTGCGGGCCGCGCTGGCGCGCAGGGAGGCCGAGCTGGGCACGCTGCGGGAGCGGCTGCGGCAGCACGAGAAGGAGGCCCCGGCGTGGCTGCAGCGGGCGCAGGCCGAGGGCTGGGTGCCCCGGGACGAGCACGCCCGCGCCACGGCGGCACTGCAGGAGCAGGCGCGGGGCCTGCGGGAGCGCCT